ACAGTAGATATAAAAGGTAATAAATAGATCTTCAGGCACCGTGTTGAAAATGGGTGTACCTCAGGGTTCCATTTTGGGTCCTTTTTTATTTCTAACTAGTTGACCCGGCAGACTTCGTAGTGCCTCGATCGATAAATAAAATACCTAAACTTTTGTATAAAATAAACTTAAAACAAAAAAAAGGAATCCGTCCGACGGGGGACACATCAAAGGGAAAACGAAATTGTTATTTTTATTTAATTCCGAGCATTTTCATATTTATCTACCTTTTAAACCTTCTCTGGATATCCACAAATAACTCAAGACCAAAATTAGCCAAATCGGTCCAGCCGTTCTCGAGTTTTAGCGAGACTAACGAACAGCAATTCGTTTTTATATAATATATAGATAAAAGATAGATTTCTCGCTATATTTGATAAATTGAAACGTTATCGAAATTATCGAGTTAAGAACCAAAATGTTAACTATTTGAATTTTTTCTATACCTACTACTAAATGTTCTACGAATGTTACGTATCTTCTTATATCCTTATAACCTTACGTTTCTAAAGAAATTGATAAAAGCTAGTGTGCGCCAATAATTCGCCATTAAAGTTAATATAACTAAAGCCGAAACTGAAGAGGCCAATAGTTTTCAATTTGCACGCCCTCACCTGTCCGTCTTGGCTAATCCTCTATTTTATTAACCCTCGTAATACCAAACACGTGCACTCTTCCTAGCCTTTGTTCTATCAAATACAATTCCATTCTCGAAACGCAACATCGTCTAAATATCAATATGGGACGTAAATCATAAGACATATGTGTTTAAGGTTGATATTTCTAAATCAATTCTTGTACACTTGAGCTACTACGGACGGAAATCCGCGATATTGTTTCGTTTTGGCGGGCCATGAGTGAGTGACGTTCGACAATTCGGTGTTGTCATGCGTAATAAACGTTGCCCGTTATGAGAGATTAGTGCCTAATCTGGGAATATTGAAAACAATTAAATAAGCTTAAAACGAAACGGGGAGCCGAGTTTCGTGACTCTCGTTTGTTTTAGAATGCATTTTTGTTTGACTTTTAATGACCTTCTTTAATGGAAATGTAAACCTGTAGGGGTGTTTTTGTAAATATATGTTATATGTATATCATTTTGAGGTGATTTTCTTCCAGTAATAGTGGGTTACAGTATGACCATTCTGTCTGATTCTAAAAGTACAGTGCAACTAATACCTACCTACATATATTATAATCCAAGACGGACGGGACATTCGTGTTCTGGTGTCTATAAAGTGTAGCTTTTTATCTTCCTCCTCTTTTTTTTTTCATAGTAAGCCATGGACATCTTACCGTCATTTATTATCATACTCTATGCATTTTTGGTAGGCTTGAATTAAAGACTCAATCAAATTTTAATGATACCTACGTTTCATCTGAAACTTGATATTTCATTCCCGCCACAAAGTCCCAGCTCCGGGTTGAGGCAAGCGCTTCATTTGCCATTCGGCGCGTATGACAAAAATAATGGCTATGGATTGCAAATAAAAAAAAAACTTAATACAAAATTACGTCACCAAATTTAAACAAGGAAAAATATCAAACGCTTTTTCATCATTTGAATTAAATTTATTTTGGTATTTTATCTGTGTTGCGGGGCAAGATTGTTATGCAATACGAAATAGATTGAAAGCATTTCCTTTTTGATGTCAAAGTTCCCTATTACCTTAGAGCCACTTGATACAAATCAAGGAGAATTCGGGAAAGGGACAAAGGGAACAAAAGGCAAGTTATAAAACTCATTAATTTTTATTTAATTTTATAAATTGAAATTCATTACACCTCACATCACGTTATTCTTACAAATTCCTTCGTCTTGTTAATCTATTTATTTGTAATAATCTATAGCTACTTAATTACATCGATCTAATTTAGTTATTTTTCAACATATAAATTTTAAATTAGTTACAAACCATTTTCCAAATATTTCTAATTTTAATATTTCCGAATCTTATTGCTATGTTTCATTGTACGCGAGGCGCCATTTTGTTTTGTCGCCATTAATAATAAAAATCGTCCATTTGATAAATTGATTTGTTTTATTATATACACGTTATTGTTAATATTTATGACGATTCATTTACGATTCAAATAATTTATCAAAAGTATAAAACAAAAATTAAGTACATAGATGCAGATAGAGCGCGAATAATTAGTTCGTGGTGACTCGAAAAATGATTACAAAAGCGAATACTTTCTCGTTGAACAAAAACAAACATTTAATAATAATACATAAAATCCATTAGATATTCGTATTAAGTTTTAGTTTGTATACATTCAACTCATTGATTTACAATAAAATACTTTTCATTTGTAATGTCAGCGTGATTTATTTGTAATATAATGTTTTAATGAAACGAAGCCATTTACAAACACATCCTTAAAACAAATGAATACAGTTTCGTTGATTCCACTTAAGACACGCGTTGACTTATAATGTCAAAACGAAGTGAAACACGTAAGGCGAATTGCACAAAAATATCGTGTTCTTTATATCATTACCTAATTGATATCGTTCGCTAAGGAAACACATTATTTACATTCTGTCTCGTATTCTGATTGCACATTTGACGTATTCGCTACCTTGCCTCTCCTTACCGAGCGCTGTAGATTAATATCAGCCATTTAATCTCACGTTTTTAACTCTCATTCGAACTTATCACACTGGAAACTTTTGAACTTTTATGAGATATATTTTCATAGTCGTAACATTTTAATTAGTAAAATAATTTCGGTTTATTAATAAGTCGTATTAGAATTAAGGGGAAATCGTATCCTATTGACATACCTAATGCCTTTTCACAGCCCAGCTGGTTGTTAAGTGATTACTGAAGCCCATAGACATCTACAGCATAAATGCGCCACCCACCTTGAAAGGTGTCAGTATATGTAGTTACAATGGCTGCCCCGCCCTTCAAACCGAAATGCATTATTGCTTCACGGCAGAAATAGGCAGGGTGGTAGTACCTACCCGTGCGAACTCACAAGAGGTCCTACCACCAGTAAAACTAAGTAAGTAAAACCTTAAGTAAAACCAGTAGTCGAATTTACTAGGCCTAAAAGTATCTATGGTAGAATTACGATTATCCGAGTGGCTCTCCGGTAGGAAAAAGTCGAATCAAAACAAAACCTTTTTCGTTAGAAGCGCTTAGATTTTGTTTTTAAACGAACCCAACAGAGCTGCCAGTACGTGCGCAAGCTGTGCAATTCAGAATCGATTCAACTCTCTACTCACTCGAACACTGATAATATTTCATAAATTACTAACTATACACACAACAATTTACTACTTTTCAATATATACACAAACGAAATCGCCTCTTTGATCATGTAAAATGTTTCTACAACAAACCGAATTGTACAATTCCTGTTGTGAAAAAAACTTGTAAAAAAAAAGGATCAGATGTTTACATACATATATCTGTCAGAAAACTTTCTTATCTCTCGCTCTCTTTCTCTCAAAGGCGAGTGTTACAAGAGGTCGAACGGTAATTTCACCGCATTTTGGGGACTAGTAGATAATATACTTACATAAATAACGTGGAAATTACCTTTCAGCACACACTAGAGAGCTTTCCAACAGACTTCTTACAATATGCGGTCGGAGAAAAGTTTACGAGCGAGTAATACGTTCTCAAACGTTGCAATCATTGTTTACGCCATTAAGAATGTGGAGTAGATTATTAGCAGACAGCCATGAGCACTCATGAAACTAAAACTTAAAAACGGATCTTGTACTTTTGATTTGAGTCGTGAGTTTGAGCGTAATCCGCATTGTCTATAACGTGAGCCTCTCAATATCCAAAACGACATCTAGAAAACTGTTAATTAATGTCTCTAATTTGCACCCAATATTTTGCAACATTAGAGAAGATATACCGCTAATTCTGTTAAAGTTTATAAACGGGACTCGTAGCTGTGACTGCTCCATTCATGAGTCAACATTGGATGCATTTCAATAAAGTATCATACTGCCGCCCAAGGATCGAAAACCGTTGCCTTTACTGTTGACGATAAAAAAAAAAGATTCGCCAATCGCGACCTCAAAAATTTAGCGATGGCAACATTTTTAGGAATTGATAGACTAGAGTTTTCTTTTTTTAAATAATTCGATTGTTCGCGCTTTATTTATTTTTTTAAATTCCCGTTTCAACTTCTGTTCCTTTAGATCCTGTTCAGTTATAATATTTAAAAAAAAACCGTCACGTTTTTATAAACGGCAGTGTGATTCTTTACGTTATTAACCGTAATCCATTTCAGAAAGAATGTTAAAAGAATCCTGCGAAACTTTTAGGTGATATAATATAATCTTAAACGTAAAAAAATTGAGTCACAAAAATATTGAAACAATCAAATCCCCGTCAGTGCCTAAGTATCTATTTTAAATAACAACTATATACACTTTACCCTCGTCCCGTTGACACGTTCGTTTAATTTGTAACACTTACTGTCACTTGTTCGGTTCACTAGATAATAGTCCATTGTATCAGCCGCCCGCAGCGTAGCTTCACCTGAAACAATGTTCTTGGAGGAGTCTGTTTGAGGTTTAATTTGGTGTTTAAAGTTTGTTAAAACACAGACAATAGAATGTTTAGATTTTGTGCGTTGAAATAAATCTAACAATAATTACCGTTCCAACTAAAAATGAAGAATAAATGTATGAATGAAGAATGAATAATAAATTAACGCGAAAACCCTTTTACATAACTTTTTAACAATAAACAACATTGATAACAATTTTTATTAAATGTTTGTAGTAAATTTAGTTACACTTTTGTTCCTTTTAGTCTATTCAACGATATCAAAGAGAATACAAGACAGTTGGTGTTGCCAACAATAATATATAAGAATAAAGAGTTAAAATGATAGTGCCCACGTTATGGTTTCAATAGCTGGTTATTTTTTCTGGAAATCATCAATCTATATTGTGTAAGAAATAAAGACGTTTTTTGGTTAAAAGATTATAGTAGAAATTGAGTGAAATTGTGTCTAATGTCGTATGAAAACAAACTGTAAACACCAAATTAAAATATTAATGAAATCAATCAAAATACATCTCCTCCTTGAACATTGTTTCGTGGTAAAGCTGTGGGAATTTCTACCAGGCTCGACCCTGTAGCGGCAGGTATCCCGAGCATTGCTGCTGGTATGCGGCGGGCTGCCGGTACGAGGAGACCAGCGGGTTGCTGCAGGCGGCCTGCGAGCCCTGAGGGGCCGAGTACCCGGAGGTAGGCGTGGCGCAGTGGCTGTGCGCCGGCGAGGACGACTCGCCCGCCCCGCACGGCTTGCCGTCCTTCACCAGCACGGGAACTGCGACCCGTCGCGGCGACGATGACGACTGCGGGCAATACGTTACCTGACATTTTTAACATACCCATGTATTACATTTTTTTTGTTGTTGCTTAGATGGGTGGACGAGCTCACAGCCCACCTGGTTAAGTGGTTACTGGAGCCCATAGACATCTACAACGTAAATGCGCCACCCACCTCGAGTTAAGTTCTAAGGTCTCAAGTATAGCTACAATGGCTGCTAAATATCACTCTAGGACAAATTTTTTTTATGCTTACATGGGTGGACGAGTTCACAGCCCACCTAGTGTAAATAAAGTGGTTACTGGAGCCCATAGACATCTACAACGTAAATGCACCACCCGCCTTGAGATATAAGTTCTAAGGTCTCAATATAGTTACAACGGTTGCCCCACCTTTCAAACCGAAACGCATTACTGCTTCACGATGAAATAGGCAGAGTGGTGGTACCTACCCGTGCGGACTCACAAGAGGTCCTACCACCAGTAAAAAAATTAAATACATTTCGTTTTATTGACGCAACGCTGATGAGTTCACGCACGACATACTTTGTGTTGAACGGTAACCGGCTTCCACAGATGCCTCCCACGATTTCGAGACGTTACCTCGAATTTTCTGTTATATACTTGAGTAATGGCTATCGTAATACCCGAAACAGCTGAAGGTAGGTTAGCGGGCTTCGATTATGGTTTATCGTGATGTAGAGTACGCAGTTTCATAGGAAAGACATCTGACGTATTCGTGGAAAGTCAGTGTCAAATGCGGTGCTAGAGCATGATGGTAGAGTGCATTGTTAGACCACGCGGTAGGTACGTACTACCTTCATATTTTTGGCGCAGAGCAGTCATGCGGTCCGGTTTGAAGGGTGTAGTAGCGGCCCTAATTAAGATTTCAACCCCACGTTACATTACAATGTTATTCCTTGTTCATGAATCTGTATTGAGTATGCATTTCATTACACCTGTTTTTGGAGCACCGGTATAATCGCATCGCTTAATTCGTAAATGTTTTAGCATTTAGACAACGATAACTTGGTAATAATAATCGGCGATAAACATAATTAAGAATTGAAATTTCAATTCCGAAAGATAATTGTTATGTGCTAAGGTATGTTTTGAATTTAAACAAGTAAATCGTGTTTACGGTAACCCTCCCTGTCAGCACGTAGTCAGCTATGAAAAGTCAAGGGCCCACCCCGACGCTTTCAACGCAAATTGAGGCAATTCCGTGAGGCTGGCAACACGCGTGCGCTCCGAGGGCGAGCTGTCATTGTTTGACGTTACTTTAACGATGTGATTAGTTTTTGATTTGATTTTATTATACCCTGCCTTTTTTTTAATTGCGACCATGGGTACATCCGCCAACGCATAACTAGGCTACGTCGTGTTAAACGAATTACGAAGTCCATTATCAGCATAATAATTATGTAGGTATGTGTATTATATTTATATGATCGTGAGTATGGTATGGCGGAAAGCGGCTACCATCGATCCTGGAAGCCGACTAGCCATTAATCATGAAATTAAACTCATAAAAACAAGGTCTAGTTTACTCCTAAGATTCGATTTATTTTGTCGCAGACATACACAGAATTATGTTTTAGAATTGCCATATTAAAAATCAATCAAAATGTTAAGTTATGGCTTATGGCATTATGGCTTAAAATTTTAATATTATAGGCAGCCTTGACAAATTCAAAATTTTGAATCAAAATGAAATACCTACATAAAATCCATAATTAATAAACAAACAGAAATATAATGAACGATTTTGTCAATTGCGAGTAGTTGGCAATATGGCACACATTGTACAACATCATATTGCTAGAGAACCATCAACCTGGAGAGACTCATAGTGACGGGTAAAATGGACGGAAGATCCAGGGCTGCCTGAAATTAGGGAGTGATCAAGTCCCCGAGCACCTGGGCGAGTTTGAGCGACGCACTTCACTGTGCTACTGACCGACATAAGTGGCTCACGAGTGTGTACAGATCACGAGTGTCAGGCGAGCGCATCAAGATGCTCAGCATTGAGCCAACGATAAGACGAGGAGGAATAGTTGCTAATAGTAGTTGGTAACGCCTGTCATACAATAAGGATATAAACATATTGCGAGTATACTTTGCCTAACACGTAAAAGAACAATTTTAATATTCTTTGACAATCCTCGTTAACAAATTCATTCCGAAATGAATATTATGCAAATTGAAATTATTTCAATAAACAATCAGATTGCATTCAATTTGTATTACAACAATGAGACCTAAGTTTCTCTGGCCCTAAAAAATTGGCGGGAAACAAATTGCAATTAGGGTTGCCAGCCTCACGTGCGGGTCCCGTATTCACCGAGATTTTATCGTCGGCTCGCATTCTTCGCTGTAAGCAGGGGCCGGTATGCCGAGTCAGCTTCCGATCTCAACGATTACATTTTAATATTCATTATTCATTAGCGTTGGGATTTAAATTCGCGCTTTAAGCAGAAAGAGGGCTGTTCAAGGTAACTGACGGTGACTTTTTATTTTTTAATAGTCTTAGGGAAGCCTGAATAGGTCAATAAAGGTCGAAAATATATGCAGTTTTTAAGACAAATTGTTTTTCCGTATTAACCGGCAAATGGATTTCGTTTTTTGTGTGCCAGACTTGATTTCGAACTCACCTGATTATGTTGGTTCTGTTCCGCCATTGCTTTCTCTTTAGCTTGTCTCTTACATTTGTAACGATGATTTTGAAACCATATTTTGACCTGTAACAATGGATATTGGTTAAAATCGATACTTAATCGTGTCTCAATTCGGATAGTTCGCAATAGAAACAATAAAACAAAATTGCGGTAAATATACTGTGACATGAATATACTGTAAAAAGCTCTTTGATATAACCAGGTGACAATTTGTAACGCGCGACATCCAGACTAATCTGAGGCAATATAAGTCTTGGTAGGAATGTAGTGACAAAAGTCAACAGCCTGCCTGCAGCGTGACCTCCCTGAAATTAGCGTCGAAGCAGGCAGCTCTCTAGTCAACACTCCACCTTAATGACGAAAGAATAAACACATCCCGCGCAATGTTTGCCTGCGCTCCGCCGACCCGCCGGCCATTGTCTAACCACGCTCCGCACGCACTAAATATACTCCTTATTTATTATTTATACATCGAGAGCTTTTCCACGATGTTTATTCTTTGAAATGGATGTGAGCCCCTCGTCGGTGGCGAGTTTCTCGCGCCTCGGAAGGCCGCCATTTTGTTCGCATACGAAATTCGGCGCGAACCGTTATGAAAACAAAATGGAATCGCAGCGTAACCTCTATTCTGTAGCTGCTGGTCGGCGCGTCGTAGTTATTCGTTGTTTTTTATCATCCGGTTGATGTCGCCGAGTCAGACGCTCGCCTTTGTCCGCTGCTCTAGTACGAGCCGCTACGTTATTTATGAAGTAGGCGAGAGTTAATGAACGGTTCCCGACGGCGCGGCGGCGGGCGTCGCTTATTGCTCTCGTCGAGTCTTGGACGCTCTCGTGTCGAGTACTTTCTTTTCAATCTCCTTGTGCATAATGCTCCATGTTACCTTGCACGCACTCACGACGAGCGCCATTCAATTATTTGTTTTACGAATGTTGTCGTCACGAGACATTTCGGGTGTGTCCGAGTGTCTTAGCCCTACGTGCTTGAGAAGTTCACACCCACTCGCCGACCGAGCGTAATGTTTTTCTAATGCATGCTAACTTACCACTTAACTACCGGAATTGTTCACGGCTATTACTTCAATGTGTGCACAATTAAAACGTTTACTTTCGATGGGAATGGTTTTTTTGCGTTCATCCGAGACGCTCATTAAAAGAAAAATGGCCACCTGGTTAGCTGTCAACTTGAGAATACATGTCAATTTTGGCGCCAAGAATGCTTGTTTATTACAATACAAATTCAATTGATCCTAATTGTTTTAGATTAAGGTTCGAAATGGCCCGTGCGAGAATGAACAGATCCTAATGCGTAGGTGTTCCGTTCCTACGAACGATGACTCGTAACATTTGGGCGCAATTATTTCAAATAAATACGGTCTCTTGTTTGTTTAGCTCTTCATTTATTGAAGCTGAGATTTTTTACGAACGATGAGTTTACGTTTTGATTCAGAACGTAAGGAGTGGACGTCAATGAAATAATATTTCTGTGTTTTTATATTTTTTTTTATATTAAATAACGCAATCGTGTGTTGCCAGACGAGTAACAGTATAGAATTAGCGGGTTATAATTACACTACTTGTTTAATTCATTAAATTATTTTGTCTATGGATTTTTTTCTCGAATAATCGTGACTGTAATTGAATTTTATAGTTTTCCTCCACACGTTTCTTTTTATCTTCTACAGAGTGTAGGAATGTATTATATTGTAAGGCTGAATAGCTGTTTGTATGGCAGTGTTATAACGTTGATTTTTTGTGTATTGGACCTCTGATGCGGATATATCTGGTATTAATTGGCCACTACCTTGGAAAGCAGATAAGTTACTGGGATAGGCTTGTACTTCGGGTGATCAAATCGAGCGCCTTCCGTGGATATATGAAGAAATATACCGACTTTCCACAAATACAGAACCACAAAGAGATTAATGAATTACTTTTGCTATTACTTTTAATTAGTGATAGGGGGCCGTATAAGCAGCTTGCCCGGGTCGGTACTATTGTACCGTGCGTTTGTATCATATGACCCGGTCGGAAAGATGAGACTTCGAGCTATGCCTCAAAGGAAGTGGTATCGAACACGCAGTTGTGTCAATGAGCTTCCGAAACTGCTTTAGTAGACGTCGAGTCTAGCATACTACAATAATGTAATAGAATTTAAATATAATTAAAAATCATGAGAACGTGGTCATCAAGGTTTTGAGGGTTTGTGGGTGCTGGATCGTCCGCCAGATGCCTCCATAGACACCTGAGCTTTAGCTTATGAGTTAACGAAAACATATAAGTAAGTATTTTGACTTAAAACTCATTAAATGAACTTTATTTTTCGTTTACTCTATACTTGAGACCTTAGAACTTGTCTCGGGGTAGGTGGCGCATTTACGTTGTGGATGTCTATGGGCTCCAGTAACCACTTAACACCAGGTGGGCTGTGAGCTCGTACAACCATCTAAGCAATAAAAAAAATAAAAACTTTATTTCAGTTAATTAGCTTCGAGAATACTATTGTCATATACTATTGCCCAAGAATCTCATGTTCTTGTTTAAAACAACAATTTGCATAGGCCGCCATAATTTAACGTAAAAAAATTATCGAATGCCTTGTTTAAAATTTCAAATTAAGAAACTGTTCAGATTAAAACATTCCCGATCGTAGACTTCGTGTATTCTATTCCATATTTTGACTGTCACAATTTTTATAATAATATGTACGTGTGAAGCGAGCACTAAGTAAACACACGCACGACTCTGACAGCCGATCAATGCGCTTCATTTATTTGTTAACTTATCAAAATAACGACCTCAAAATGAAAACGCGTGCAACCATAATGTTACTTGCTGGGCGATTGTAGACTCTGTACCCTCAGTTTTATGACGAGAAGCAACAGTAATGCGAGATTGACAGATGTAAATGGAATGTTGCCAAGTTCGGAGGCTACGTGACAAATCAATGTCGAAAAATTGGTGAAATTCCTTATTTTGTTATTGCAGGTGATGGCTCATAGCGGTAGAAGCGGTGAAGGTATATTTTTATAAACGAAATTACAAATTCAATTCGGTTTTATGTTTAAGTGAAGTCCAATCATAAATTTAAATTTAAACAATACAACTATGTATGTCCAGTATTCTGTTATACTTGCGCATAAGGAAGATTCCCAACGCGATTTCCTAAATAGAAAAATAAAATATTATAATTAAACTTAGAAAAATTGTCATTTTACGAAATTAGTTCTCCCAAAATAATTGTGTTTCTGTCAAAACAAGAACCTACGTACCTACGACATAACTAGAAAAGGAATATTATGGCATTTATCGAAATATAATTTGATTGATGAGTTGTAGGAACAATTATTTAGGTACCTTTTTACAATTTCATCTAAGTCATGGCTTTAGACACACAAAATTCGTTAAAATGCAACATAATAAAATAAAACTAGTCCCCGCGAACAAATCTTCTGAAATTATTTTGTGTATCACACGTCCTGTGTTAAGATGTAAACTTGAATACGTATTATGTAAGATTAATGAGTGGATTCATAATTCTCAACTGTCTTCGTTACACATTTATCAGCTTACGCACTCTATGCCATGCAAAATGATGTCCTGTATATTAACTTCAAATCAATCTCAAATTCAGTGTTTCTCTTTTGTCATAATTGTCAGGCGACTGGGTTTTTAGCTTTTCAGCTTTTAGTTAGTTAGTTAGTTAGTTAGTTTTTAACTTTGTTTTTAGCTTAGTAAAATATACCGTGGGCAAAGAGGTGCTGTGATACTCAAACGTGCGACCTCACAATATGATCCTCTAATTTTCTTATTCCCTATCTATTCGCTGGTAGCCTAAGCGGCTATTGTACCTATGCGGAGCGGTAGGTGAGCTCACGGGCTCATCCTGAGAGAATTTCTTAATACTTCTTAGCAAGAGCACAGAATTTACCACCAAATCCTAACTACCCAGTGAGAAAATCAGGCGAGAAACTCAGTAGGCCACTTCTACTAATAATGTACGTTCGACCGTCTCAGCAATAAATAAAAACCCACCAGCACAGTTACCACCAATGATTTATGGTAATCATCAACCCAAGGTGGGTTGTAACCCAAATAAATCATTTGATCTAACAAACATACCAGAACTCAGAATCAGTTCAATAATTAATAATAATTCATTAATCAGTTTTTAACGAGCACTCCTACTCCTCTTCACTACATCTCTACGAGTGACGTCATTTGGGGCCAAAACAAACCGCGTGCGATACATCGAATAGCCAAATGCGACATATGTAGTCCTTGGTGTTTATTTTAGAATTTTAAGATATCATTTAGTAGTAGATATATTAATTAATAATAATTAATTTAATAAATTAATAAAATTAATTAATAGTAATTGGATCGCCGTTAACATCCCATCTAACTAGTTTTTGGATTGCTAATGAGAGTCATTGCTTTTTGCTTTGAGAAGAAATTAAGATAAAATCCACGCACCCAATCCCACAACAATGAAAGTTTTAAACAAATAAAACAGAATTTATGTCGCAATTGATAAACGCATTTTATTAAATCAATCCAACAATATTCCCGCAATAAAGTTGCATACATACATAAGAGATTAAATTTTATTTGCGTTGAGAATCTGCGTGGTGCGCGACCCCAGTCTGTGGACCGTGAAACATCCTTCGCAAATACATTTAAACTCCAATTCACTATATTAACGTAATGTTTGTTGATTTTATGAGCTGCATTTTCGTTAATCTGACTTTAGCATGCTGATTACTTTATTTTACGTTATGCAAACATCAGCCATTGATTGTTTGGGATTAAGTAAGGAAAGTGAATGTTATGAAAATTTTGAAGTGAAACTTCCTTATCGGCGTTGGAAAAAAATTTACCGTCACGTTTTTCGGTTACGCGTCACTTTTTTCCGTTACGCGCCATCTTTTAATTAACGGCTGTATGTTCTGAAGTATGGATGCGCATTTGAGAAACCGACCTCATGTCTCAAGGTGGGTCACGGAATACATTTTGTAATTGCAATAATCCCAGGTAACCCACTTAATATCACGTGGACCGTGCTAT